TATATTTATAATAGATACATATATTCATATATCACAGTAATATACAAACCAAGTGCTTAAAAAATAAAGGCGAAGGCGATCTTTCGTATCGTAATGGAGATGGTTGGGGAAAGGGTTGGTAGAGGTAGGGTCTGGGAAGAGGTATGGAACTTAGTATTTGTAGTGTTGGTGCTTCTTTGGTCGAGGGAATGTCCCCAGTGTACGTTTGCATTGGATTGTGTTTAAGGCAGATGCCATACGTGTGTATGTTTGTCTACAGTAAGGTATGTACCAAATTTATAGTACTGATAAAGCTCAAAACTTTGCTTTCCCACATTCTTGTTGGTAATTGATTAAAATGTGCTTTTGCTGATGTTTTCTGCTAATGACAAAAGTAGAAAAGCAAGAAGTTCCATTCCTCCTCTCATCGCATTAAACAAAAGTGCTCTTGTAAGTATGGAGAGGATGTAAGAAATGACAAATCTGTACAATATTTACAAATATATTACAGCCCTACAAGATGTCCAGCCTATTTGGAGACGTTCGGGGTAGGGAAGTGGAAAAAGCCCAGCTTCTTGTCCCAGGGGCTCGAGGAGGGGATTTGATTATAGGGCGAAGGCATGGTGGCAGGGTGATTCCTACAGGAGAAGTCGTGTCTTTTGTGACAAGTTACAAAGTCAGTGTCACTTAATCTCGTCTCTTGTTTCGTCGTCCACCTGTCTCCTTTTTCCCGCTCTCCTTCCTCGCCGCCTGCCCTGATGCTGCCTGCTTACAGACTCCGCCTGCGCCCTCTCGCTCAATGTCCTGTGGTGGAGAGAGGGAAAAGTAAGGGTGTTGGGGCAGGGGAGGTGGTGTGGCAGAGGGAGGCGTGGTCGGGGACTCCTGGCCAGAGCAATTGCCGCTCCCGGTGCTCATCGCCCGGTGTTTGAGTCTGAGTTTGTGAGGCAACGCTGTGCCCTTCACCTCCCCCTGCGGATCCCGGCCCTGCGTCTGAGAGCAGCCGTGGGGGGATGGCAAAGGTGAGGCAGGCTGGTGGAGGCTGGTAAGGTGGTGGTGGTGGTTGTCGTAGCTGCCCGTGTCCGTGCAGGATGAGGAGGGGGACTCATCATCATCCGTGGAGGCCTCTTTGTCAGAGCTGCGGGGAGATCCATCGCTGGACGAAGTGTCCTTGCTCGAGGAGCTTGACTGGCCTTGGTAGTAGGCCTCATCCCTCGGCCCACCTTCGTAGCTCAGCACAGGTGGCTCCTCGTCTTGGGCACTGAGGTATGAATTTTGAGGCTGCTGGAGATGGTGGTACAGGTGGGATTGGTTGACCCCCTCGATGTGTTGGTGGAGGAGCTCTGCAGACGAATCACTCTCCTGCTGGTGCTGCTGGGGAAGTTGGCAAACTCTATACATCTGTCTCTCTCCAGCCTCGTTGCGGCTGTCTGAGAACTCGTATGAAGGGGAGTCTAATGTCTTCCTCTCCAGCTGTTTTGTCACTTCAGCCAGTGTCTCTGTGGCGCTCTGGGGCAGTCGACTAACAAATGTCGAGCTGCTGCCACTGCTCTGCTTCTGAGCTGCCAGCACATCAGTGTCCACAGGGTAGGAGGCACTGCTGGAGCCGTACAGAATGACGCTCCTCTGGGCAGCAGGTGGGTGAGGGGCTGGCTGGCTTACATTGGTGACAGCAGTGACAGGCTCCTGCTGCTGAAGCTGCTGCTGTTGGCTGTGATACGCAGCCTCCAGCTCCTGAGAATGCTGCTGGATCTGGTGGTGAGTGGGTACAGAGGCCAGACCACGGTGGATGTTAAACATGATCTGGGTTGTGGTGCCATTGGCAATGTCCATCTCTAGCCTGTCACCTTCCTGTTTGATCTCAAAGGGGAGTGGCTCAGGGCTGTCCCTGGAGGAGCTGTCTGACATGTCAGAGAGGGAGCCACGTGGGGAGTATTTCACCAGCTGCCTGTGGCCCTCGCTGCGCCCTGATTGCTCTGTTTCGGAGGAATCTGACGTCATTATCATCTGAGAACTGCTGGAGTAACCACTGGAGTAGTACTGAGTGGAGGAAGATGAGGATGAGCCTCCATTTCCTGTGTTGCTGCCTCCACCAATCTGCTGGCTCTTTTCAATATAAGAGGCTGTGCTTATAATGCCAAAGCGCAGCTTCAACTGGAGCAGTTCAGTCTTGAGCCTCACATTCTCATCATTCAGTGCAATGACACGGTTTTCCAAAACCATATCATTGAGACGCCGCTTCTCCCTGGAACGCTTGGCCGCCTCATTGTTCTTGCGACGTTTCTCCCAGTAGGAGGCGTCCTTCTTCTCGTCGGAAATGAACTCGCGCTTTCGCCTGCAGCTCATATTGGGTTTGGGTTTTATGAGGCGCCCAAGGCGAGCTGGAGTCTCCTGGTCAGAGGGATGCGACTCCTCATAACCATTGAAGGTCTCAAGGCAGTTAAGGTTATTCCCTGAGTTCTTGAGTGCTGAAGTCAGATTTTCCATTCTTGTCTTGTGGTAGCCAGTTTGAAATGGTACTTCAGCGACAGAGACAAAAACCGGTTTCCTCCAAAAGTTCTTGATCAGCCTTTTGCAGGTTTAGTCAAGTTGTGACTGGATGGGGGTCAGTGTAGATCGGTCTCCTGGGGAGCCTCGCTCTCTGTGCTCGTCTCTCCTCGGTTTGCAGTTGATTGTAAGATGAAAAGCTGCAGAGAGACAAACAGAAAACACAGATTAGGTCAATTTACGTGGACTGCTGCTGCTCCACACTGCGTTTCCATTTCAGATTTTACAACCACGTCTTTTCAGTCATTTCTGCTGATGCTGTTTTTCTTTTCACATTGACGAGTAACCAAAGACACGTTTCTGCAAAGCGTTCCGGTGCTGCTTCGGCATGCCTGGCTTTTACTGACTGCGTCGCTCCTGGCAACCAATGAATGATCCCTAGACCTCGCCGTCTGACCTTTTGGCCCCGCTATTGATCTGCTCTGTCTGCAGCCTGTGACCCCCCCCGACCACCAACGCTGGCATGTAGATGTTGACTTTTGTGATGTAACGTGAGCACAGAGTTCATGGCAAGGCGGATGATCCTAGTTCATGTTGTCACAGAGTAGGAAATGTGTGGAATTGGCCCCTTTTGTATTTGGACCAGACAGAAACAGGGTGAGTCAGACGCTCGGCTGGTGGGGCTCAGAAAAACCTCAATGGGGGAAAGCACATCCAGAAACAGTGCAACCCCCATGTGTTCATCCCCAGAGGAGTGCGGCGGCATTCTTCGCTAAAAATAACCCAGCGCCAAATCAATGATGCAGATAAGGCAGACAAAGGCAGCAGCCAGTGCAGGTCAAGGATAAAGAGGCTGAGAGATTTGGAGGTGTGGGGGGAGGTCGGGCATTGACAAATATAGGTCAAGGGCCCCTGGAAAGAAAGGAGGTGGGATGTAGGGCAGGAGTAACACGGTCCGATAACATTTGGGTGGTCGCACAATCCCATAACTACGGCGATGGGCGCCTAAAAGCTTCAAAGCAGCAGGGGGCGCTGTATAATGAGCTGAACAGGTGTGCTTTTAGTTTGCTGTTATCGGAGCATTACACCAGTGAATGGTTGTTTAGTGCAGCCTCATCGAGACGCAGCGAGCAAAGTTTTTCAAAAAATCAATAAAAGTCTTTGTCACGAATGACGACAAGAGCAGATGTAATACATTATGAAGACTTTACAGAAAATGTTGCCTCTGGTCAAATATCACAAGAAATAATTTGTGCAAAGACGAACAGTAGATCCCATTGATTTATCCAGTGCAAGTAAATATGTGAGGATAAACTGCATAAGCAGCATTGAACTGTCTGAATTTGTAATCTCATAATCTGGGAAGATGTTTACATTAGTTCTACTCTGCTCTGGATCCAGGATCTGATTTATTACGTAACGACACGGGCGTATCCTCGCAAAGAATATGGATCCATATAAAATGGATGCAGACAATCAGTTTTTATATATATTTAAATTTCTTTCCGAAGAATCAGACGTAATCTAAGATCTCCACTACATTGCCACCATCTTGTTTAGAGATGGAGGTGCTGCTGTTTGGATTTTTTCCTCGGTCTGGCTGAATGGTTAAAGGTTGTCCCCCTGTGAGCCTTCGACATGCAGCTGTTGCGCGCGAGAGAGAGAGAGAAGGAACGAGGGACTAGGACACTTTTTCTCAGCATGTCCCACTGACCCAGAAACTGTGGACCGACTGCTCTCTGTAAACACAAGTCTCGCTGCCTCCTACTGTACGGCTCGCTGGAATATAGGTCAGCCGAGCTGCGAAGAGGTGAGGCGGCGAGAGTGAGAGACCGACAAAAAAAGAGACGAGATTACAAAAAAAGAAAAGTGAGGCGCGGAAAAATTAGAGCATTGTCTAAATATAGATGGAGGTGAGAGCAAGTGGAGCGGAGACAAAGAAAGGGAGGGAATCAATGAGGGAGAGTTAAAACAAAGAAAGGGATGGAGATGAGATTATACTGTAGAGGAGGGGGGGGGGCAGTGGATGATTGCGACAATGTTGATATTGCATCAATAGAAGGAATGTGTCACCCATAGCAACAACGAGGGGCAAACAGAGGAGGCAGCCAGTCGCATCAGACTTTCTGTGAACCGGCGGGTCGACATGGCCGAAGGCAGAAAACAAGGTTCTGTAACAAAAGCAGCGTGATTGACGTCACCCGAGGCGCATGTCGCACATCTCTCCTGCAGCCGGGACGAGCGAGACACATGAGCAGACTCTTGTGTTTAATTAACCCACAGCTTTTGGCTCTGCCTCTCCCTCTGCTGCACCCCTCGCTGCTCAACCATGTGAATGAACCAGGATCACACACATCCACAGGGTGTTGTGATTCTCCTTCACAGCTCAGGCTGTTGAAATTCGTCTCGCTCGTCCTCTTTGTCGGTAAAAATAACAACAGATTCGTCTTGTCCCGACACGATGAAAGCCACGACGACCAAAAAAACGCAGTGAATTAAATGGCAGCTGAGCAAAGACGGAAACACAGAGACACACGCCAACCTGCCATGTGTTGCAGCCCCGCTCCTCTGCGCACTTTGCCTTGACCTAGATTACGCTTTCCAGTTTATCACGTATTCTTCACGTGTCATCACTAGGCCTCTGTGGCACTTGTGGAATGATAGCAACGCAGAAGAATCCAACTTGCACTCGCTCACACGGCCGCAAGAGTCTAAATGTGGCAGTGAGCTCTGGAAACAGTGGCCAGGGTTCAAACCCGCTGCACGTGTTTCTGTGGAGCATTTCAGGAAATGGGAGCAGGTCTGAAATAAAGAGGGGGGGAGGAGGAGGAGGAGGGGGGGGGCAGGCTTCAGAGAAATGAGGAATGATAAACTGTTGCCCCCCCCCCCCTCCACCTCCTGGGGAGAATGCAATACATGGCACGTGGTGCAAGGTTGGGGGGTCATGGGTGGGGTCGGCTTGAAATCCAAGTCTGAGGGAGACCGACTATCTTCTTAAGAAAGAGAGGTAAAAATCAAGTGGGGTGGGGGGGGGGGCACATGCCCACAAGGCGGAGTCCTATCCGAGCGAGATCCTTGTTCCACGAACACTCAGCCATATCACCCCCTCTCTCTGGAAAAGGGAAAAAAAAAGCCGAGTGACTCAGTCCATGTGTTGCTCCAGTCACATGTGCTCCCTTGGCCTACTAAATGCTGTAATTCTCCTCCGCTGGCTCCAGACCACAGCGCAATAACAAAGCCCGGCCCTCATCTTCCCTCATCTCACATGTGCCAGGAAACCCCGAGAAAGTTAAGAGGCCGCAAAGTGGGACAGGATGGAAACTGCTCCATGGCTCTGACCATGAACTCCTGGTTTTTATTTCAGTGGAGCTGGACTCAGACTCTTTAACCACAGAGCAGTTGTCTCCACAGTCCAGAGCAGTGATGCAATCCACTTGTAAGGACTTCAGAAAGCTCCTGTTTATTTACTGTTATTCTATTTAATCTGGATCTTATTGTTCTGCCTCTGTTTCTTTGTTATGGCGGGGCCAGGATTTATTTTGGTGGAGTTTTGATTCTGCCTCCCCGGCCTCGTCCCCCCCCCCCCCCCCCCCCCC